AGCGCAGCCCGCCCAGCTCGGCGGGATGCGAAAAGGCAGCTAGCAGGTTCCCGGTGCTGCACCTCCCGGCTTCTCTGCGGCTGGCCGTATTGGGGCTCTGAGGCTAAACAGGGCCCACCCCGCTGAGTCTGTGGATGGGAGACCACTTGGAAGTCCCAAAGCTGCAGGCTAGACTGGGAAACCGATCCCAGAGGAAGGCCGGGGGGAGCCTTCCCTACCTGGGTGCGTCTGGGAGCCGAGCTTTTCCTGCTCTCCGTTTTACCCCGGCCCCACGGGTCTCTCTGACCTCCTCGGCTCCCGCCGGGTTCTTCTCCCCCGCCCCCCAGGCCTTTCCTGTGGTCAGTGGCACAAGGAAGGCCGCTTATTCCTTGCGTCGCCTGCTCTGGCCCGAGCGCAGCAGCCCCGGCTGTTTCTGTCCAAGGGAAGGAGCCGAGCGGGGCTGCGGCCACCGCTGCATCTCCTGAGCTCCCCCGATCTGGTCTCACGGCCTCTTTTCGAGGGTCTCAAGGCCCTGCCCTCCTGTCCCCAGGCTCCCTCCGGTGTGTTTTCTGGCTCATCGGGGGACGCGCAGTGCCCTGCACCGGAGTTGCCTTGCTTTGGCCTGCACGGGAGACCCTCCAGGTCTGAAGCGGGAGGGGTCTCCTCCCCTTGATGCCGGGACGGGGGGCGGGAGAGCCCCGAGGCAGCCATGACCATGTGACCGAAGCCCGCCTTTCGAAAGGCGCATCGCCCCTTCTGCCGCCATGGAGACACACTGGGTGGGTTCACAGAACACGCTGGGTAATAAGGTGTGACAGCATGTAAGGCCAAGCTGGTTTGGTTTGTAGGCCGTGGTGAACACAGCTTAGCGCTGTGTGTGAATTCAGCCTTTGGCTGAGTTTGACCCAGGTTCGTTTAATCAGGGCTCAGCTACCTAACCCAATGTGCAGGAGCATCTTCAGGGGGTTAAAAAAAAATCAAGAGGGTGGCTGCCACCACCTGGGGCTTCAGTTCTGCGGTAGCAACCACCATCTTGACTTTTTTGACCCTCCCCTGAGCAGACATCCGTGCCGGCTGCTTGGAGTTGCGTGACACATGGAACCATAAAGTAACTATAACTATAAATGTGCCATATCAATAAATAAAAATAAACCACAAATTGCGGAAACGTTAGGCTAAAACCCACCAGCTTACTCGGTGGCTCCGTGTGCTGAGAGCGGAGCCGTGGGGCTGACTCTCCCGACTCGGCCAGCCGAGCCCCAGCTTTCCTTCTAGAGTTTTGTTTGGGTTTTGTGGATTTCGAACTGGAGGGACGTGCCAAAGTATTTATAAAAAGAAACGACGGATTACTTGTGCAGCTCTGCGCCGTCGACAGAGCTTCAGATAGCGGGGAAACCCAGTCCTAAAGTGTGGGATCTCTGAGGGTTGCCTAAACCTTCTGGCCTTTTTCCCCACAGAAATATCTGCTCCACCGGCTGTTCTTCGTGGCGATGCTGCGAGAAGAAGCCAGCGAGGGCGAAATCACAGGTACCGCGGCCGGTCTCCCCGCGGCTTCTGGAAGAGCGGGCCTGGCTTGCCAAGGGCGGAGGGGCCGGAGTAGACCCCACCGATCCGTGGGGTCGATCCGCTCTCTGTGCGGGAAAGAAGGTTCCAGGGTCTTGCTGGAATCCCCTCCCCAGCTTAGCGGCTTTCGAGCCTCTGCTCGCCCTGGATGGCCTCTTCCGTGGCAGTCCGGACCTTCCCTGCCGGTCAGATTTCCCCAGATGGGAAGGCGTTCGTGGGTCCGGGGGGCAGGTCTATCTCTCTCGCCTCACTCTCCGGCCTCCAAGGAAGATCAGCTGAGTCCCGGTGAGGGCGGGGCCGGCGATAGCCCTAATTGTGGATCCGTCCTATCAGGGAAACCAGACTAAGAAACAGACGCCGTGTAGACCTAAGCTTACTTTGATTAGAATAACTGTAGTAACAGAATCTTGCAAGCCTGAATGAACTTCCCCTCCTCTCTCTCTCTTTTATCTTCATGGGAATTGGGGCGCGGGGGGCGGCTGAGTCCTTTTTGTAAACCACTTTCTTGGCCTGAGCTCGAGCCTCATTTATCTCATCTTTGCCTTGGTGGTGGATCTTCCCTCTGTCCCTCAAGGCCATCCTCTATATTCACTGGAGGTGGTTTCTCCACACTGATTACATGTTACATGTGAACCCCGCTACTAAGATTATTCAACAAACCACATTTAACCAATATCTCACGTTTGTCAAGTCTATTTGTTCAAATCCAGAGGTGGGGAATTTGTGGCCCTCCGGTTGTCTAACCACAGTACCCAGAAGCCTAAGCCAGCATCGCTAGTCTAGTTCAGCAGCACCTGGAAAGCTACACTTTCCCTTCTCCTGTGTTAGGTCAACAATTCACAACAGGCGTATTGCATCACCCTATTGTGAAATCGCTTCTACTTTTTGAGACAGGTTAATCCGTTGGTGTGACTGCGTATCTCTGAACATGAGATACAAGGCATGAAAGTATGTTTCCTCCACAGCATCAGCAGTGAGGGAGAGACTCCTTTGAGCAGGTTCCACTGACCCCAGTGAGAAGGGGCTGAGAACAAGCCCAGCATCCACCAGGCATTGGAATTTCGCCCCCCATCCTGCTTTCTTGGGGGATTCTGGGCTGATCTCTCTGTTGATCTTTCCCCCTTCCTTTTTGAAGGCTATCACGAACAACTTTTCCAGAAAATTTCACGGTTCCATTTGGGGGAACCAGCCTCAGGGGTTCTTCTCATCTACTCCCAGAGCATTCTCCATATTCTCGAGGTAGGTTGAGCAAATATTTAGAGTACCAGAAGAAGCTGAAGATCCTTTTGTTTAATGATGTAGGGGTTTGTAACAAATGCCAACAAAATCTGTGTCCAGCTTAGGCCCCAATATGTAAGCCTGGCAGTATTGGGGTAGTATTGGCTGAATGCAGCTGAGTACTGGTAGTATTGCAGGGTCAATGTAGTTTAGTCATTTGGAGAATTAAGCAAACTCTCCACCAGAAAGATTTGAAAAAGTTACTTTAAGTATGACCTCCCCCAGTGTTGCAATGCCTTCAGACATCCGAGCCTGATGCCCATCTCCCCTCCCCGCAGGCCTCCAGCGGCACCCTCTACCACATCCTCAAGAACCTGGCACTTTTTGAAAAGCAGGGAACGACGTAAGTTAAGCAAAGGCTCCAGTGAGGTCAGCTGTGGGGAGGGGGGCACTTCAGCCCTGAACCAGAGGGGTGCTTTGAAGGGGTCTGAGTCTCTCTGCACAGTTGGGCTGAAAGGGGACAGTCTGAGGAATGGATGGAGCACTTGGCTGGAGGGCGCATTTAATTACCCTTATGAGTTTATTGATGTATACCTTTTTACCTGCATTTTCATTGTTCAAAAGGATCCCAAGGTGAAAAGTAATTTTTAAAAAAGCATTTATAGTAAGCTAAAAACAATGTACAAATGATAATCAGAGCATCCCGTAACATTCTTCACCAGAGCGCACAGATGGTTTATGGTTTTAAAACAGCTGAAAACGAAGCCAAAAAAGCTGTAATATAAGAGAACAAGAAGAAAGCAGAAGGCCCCAGCATGAACTGAAAGAAAAGCCTTTCATCCCTTCCAGCGTTTGGACGTGTGTGTAAGACGGGGAAGACGCCACCTTGTTTCAGGGATGGGCATCTGTGGCCAGTCAAAGGCTGCTGATTTACAGTTCCTGGGTTCCCTTAGTGTCTTGGGCATTTAGCAGCTTCTGAAGGGCATCGGGTTCCTCATCCCTATTTGCAGAGAAAGGTAAAAGCACATCTGGGATGTTCAGCCAAGAGGGGAAGGCAATGGGTTCCAGAAGATGTGTTGCTGGATTAGGAGCGGGCTTGGTCTGATTCAGAGGGCAAGTATTTACAGAGGAATGCCTAGATTCCTCCAACTTTCTGGATGGTTAACATGACAACCTACTGAGGCCATCAACATCCAGTTGGAATAAAAACTTCCTGCAACACTTCTGGAAGAGACACGGGCTTGGGTCTTCACTGGAAGGATCCTTGGCCTGAGAAACGGTTATCTGTCAGGCTCTCAGCAAAACTTCCATTTTCATGCTGGCTTTCCCCCAACTACTAACTACCTGAGTATTTTCTAATGGATTGTTTCTACTCAGTTTTTATTCTGTTTTTACATTCTGTTTTCATAATTATTGTAAAGCACTTCAGGAGTTTTAGAACAGGAAGTGCTATATAAATACTTGGAAGGAAGGGAGGCAACCTCCCATGTCCACGGGTAGTGTAGCCACTGCCCCCGATGTGACCTTTCGCTGGTACGTAGCTGCAAGCCTTAAATGTCTTGATATTTGATAGAACATGGATGCAAGCGTGTGCGTAAGGTGTGTGCGAAGCCTTGTGGTGCCTTGATATGGTTTGTATCTCTCTTTTAGGGCTTTATTGCAAGATATTAAGATATTGGTAATATCTCATAACATTCCCACCAGACTTTTCACACAGTGGTATGCCACCAAAGTGGAAGTGCCTGTAACTTTGGAAGATGTGACCCAGAGCCAGACAACAGAAGAAGTTATTACAGAGTGTCTTACACTCATTCTCAAGCTGGGAGTGTACCTTGCAACACTCAAGGTGAGAGCAGACCCCTTCGGCAGTTCTCTCTCCGACGTCATGTTGATTTCCCCAGGACCAGCACAGCTGATCCGACATATACTTTGCCTGCACACAAGGATAATGCGTCTCCTTCGTTTGGGACAAAGTTGGAAGACCTTAGTCCAGAGGGAGGGGGTGCACGCATTTCTCTGGCCAGAAGATCTCTTCAGCTTTTTGCCCTTGCCTCGGAGATGTCCTCAGGTAGCATAAAAGGTACACCAAATCCTGATACGTGCTTTTAGGTCAAGAAGTCTGGCATTTCACTTGTTTACACCCTCCCTGCTTTGGTCCAGAGATAATTGAATGTCTCCTCCATTCCTTCAGAAGCCAGTTCCCTCCTTCTGTTTGGCTAGTTACAGGCTTGGTGCTTTTCCAGTTTTGACATGTTCCATGTTGACAGTGCCATCGTGTAGAGAAGGCACTTGGGGACATGCACGAGACAGTGCAAAGCGCATTATGGGGATTCTACTTTCAGTTTCTTACTTGCCATAGTCCTTTGGGGTTCTGATGTGTTAGTAATGTGATTTACATGAACGTAACTTTGATAGGAAATAATTACTGCTTTTCTTGAAGGAGACAGTATCCTGATCATGGAGATACAGAGTCTGGGTTTACTGGCAGGATTATTTTAAAAAAATAGGTTCCTAGGCAATGGATTGATGCCACCTCAGCTTAAGTTAACCAATTCCGCGTGACCCAAACTGGGAGCTTTTCCTTGGCTCCCTGGCCCAGCACAAAACCTGCAAGAAAATCTCTCTGTCCAGCACATGGAAACTTCATGGAGGAAAGCAAACATTTCGGCATGAAAAAAAGGTGTTAAAAAGCAATTAGACTCTAAATATCAAATTGCCAAAATGTTGATGATGCCTTTATCCATAAAGACCAAACCGGAGGATTTTGGTGCTCTCTCTCACACACACATACACAATGGGCTCGCCTCAGAATAGCTAGGAAGGGGCACTTCTAGTAGTTTTGGGGTATGATTATTTATTTATTTAAGCAACTTGGAGGCTGCCCGACTCCTGACGACCCTGGCTGGCTTACAAAAAAGATTCATAACTGGCCTGAAGACAAACTTATAAACCAACCCCCATCCATTGGGGGCTTTCCCCTCAACTGACCCCAAGGTCTGCCCACCCAGCGCCCCTCTGGTGAATGACGTCTTGCTGCTCAACTGAATGGGAAGTTTTGCTCCCTGGCTATGATCCCAGATGACCCCAGACATTAACCTGGTTTTGCCTTTAAAGCCAGGAAATCTGAAGCTTTTTTGCCTGCGTGAGCCAGATTCTCCGTTCTAGCTCTTCTGCTGTACAGTATTTCAGATCCTCTGGCTGTCCCATCCAAGTTATTTTATGGTTATTTTATGTCAAGCTTTCAAACATGAGTTGTCTGAGCAGCATTAGTTAAAGCAGAAAAAACTGATAAATGTATAAACTAATTACAGAATAAATGCCACAGGGCCAACTCAAGTGGATTTACCACGTTGCGCTTCCCTCTTATCTCCAGGTGGGCAGCAAAGGCCTTGGCGAATGTCTTCACACTGCTGTGCCGGAGCTTCTGATCCCAGCAGAAACCATCCGGTATTTGTGCAGGACTCAAGAATGTTTGAGCCCCACGGAATTTCTGAAGGTGTTCGATAATCCTTTGCAGCCGAACATGGATTCAGGTACCCCTCCTTCTCCCCAGAGGGAGGCACCCTCTCTCCTAGGGCCCCTGGCGCTTCCCAGCCCCGGCTCAGGGCACCAAACTATCGGTGGCTGGCAGAGGAACTTCTCCCTCCTTGGCCAGGCTCTGAAACATCGGTGTCGGTGGACTGTCACTGACCTGAGCAAGTCACCAGTTGTGCTTCGGGGCCTAGAAAGTTGCAGGTTCTGCCTGGAACTGCAGATGGTTGTAAATGGGGCAAACAGATTTATGATAGGCTTATGTTCGGAAAGCTGGTGCTTTTCTGCTTTAGTGCAATTAAATGTTAGCAATCTATTCAATTTATCTTTCTATCCCCACCCCACCGTGTTTTTAACACCCCAAAGCCTTTCAGTTAAAAGCATGTGGGTGGATGGAGGAAAGGGAGCCCCCAAGGAAAGTGTCTGATGCGAGGACAACATCATAAGGAAGTAACTTATTGAAAATGTTATCAAGGGTATTGGAGAATGCTGAGAACCAAACTGTGTTGAAGAAAGCTTACAGTACGAAACGCTTTCAAGAGCAAAACTCTTACATTAGCTCCCTGTTCCCAGACTCTAAAGACATGGCCCATTTTGCCATTCTGTTATTTGTGAAGAAATTAAGAAATGAAAATG